ATCTCCGCCTCCTGGGTTCAAGCAATTCTCCTGCCTCAGCCGCCCAAGTAGCTGGGATTACAGGCATGTGCCATCATACCAAGCTAATTTTGTATTTCTGGTAGAGACAGGGTTTCACCATGTTGGCCAGGCTGGTCTTGAACTCCTGACCTCATGCGATCCGCCCTCCTTGGCCTCCCAAAGTGCTGGGATTACAAGCGTGAGCCACCCCGCCCGACCCCGGCTAATTTTTTGTTTGTTTGTTTGTTTGTTTGTATCTTTAGTAGAGACAGAGTTTAACCATGTTGGCCAGGCTGGTCTCGAACTCCTGACTTCAGGTGATCCACCCGCCTCGACCTCCCAAAGTGCTGGAATTATAGGCGTGAGCCACTGCGCCTGGCCGATTTACTTTCTTCACTTCGCTATTGGGACGACACTCTCTCCTGGTTCTCCTTCTACCTCACTAAACAATCCTCATTCTCTTTGCTTCTTTATTTCCCTTACTTCTAAGAAGTTTTCAAACTGTAGGTCAACACACAACTTACATGTGGGTTGTGAAAATATTTTAATGAGTTTTGATCAATATTTTTTTCATAGAAACTATTTATGAAAGTATATTAACATATTCTGTAAATACAGTAACTGTAGGAAACACAAATTCAATTAAGAGATGCAAAGAGGGGTTTTTATGAATCATTCCTTTGAAAAAATAATTCTTGGAGCATGCCTGTAGTCTTAGCTACTCCAGAGGCTGAGGCAGGAGGATCGCTTGAGTCTAGGAGTTCAAAGTCACAGTGAGCTCCGATCATGTCACTGCACTTCAGCCTGGGCAACAGAATGAGACCTGGTCTCTAAAAAAATAAAAATAAAGATAACTAATTATTGGAATAAAGAAGAAATATGACAAGAGGATCCATAGAGGCTGCATGCTAAATGGTGCTTGGAAGAGGAACCGCTGCTTTGTAATGTGAAATTTTCTCTTGCCTCTATACTCCATGACCTCAAGGGTTCATCCAAACTCTTTAGAAGGGAAATGTTGTCAACATTATCCTTGGAAAATTGTTAAGATTATCCCATATTGACGACTGGGCTTCTAGCTTCTTTCCAAATTTATTTCTTTCATGGTTTGTTACTTAATGTTACATACTAGACTGAAAAAATATATATATATTGAAATCTCACCCTGTGTATCTAGGTTTAAATGTTTAGCCAAAACTTTCCTGTTTTTCCCTCCAAAATTGTATAAATTGACCACTCCTGCTGTTAGATCAGAAGCATAATACAGAAAATAAGCGGCTTAAAATAATATGCCTGAAACTAAGTTTATTTTTTATTTGATTTTAGTCGGACCAAAAACTGTAAATTCAGCGAGCCCCTCAGCAATTATTCAGTAGTGAGAAAAGCACTCCTAGTTAAAATTTCCTAGGAAACCTTTTGGGAAAAGGCTGCAATTATATTTCCCCCTCCTTTTCTTTCTTCTGGTTCCGGCTTGTTATTTTTTTCCCCTTTTGTCTCCAATATCTATCCATGCTCACCTTTCCCATTGCAAATTGTTTATCTCCTTTGCTTTAATATTTATCCTCCTTTCCTTTTTTCTTGTTTGACAAACACTTTTTTTTTTGTAAAAAACAAGGAATGAAATAAAAGAGAGAATATCCGAAAATATAACATGTAGGGAAAGTAGGTATTCTTTTGTGAAATTTCTGTTTCATGTGTGTGCCCGCATGTTCATGTAAGGAGTCAGGATGGAAAATGTTTTTCATACTGTGGGTCACAGTCAGTACAATTTTTTGAGCCACAGTGATTCCAAACACTTGGAGCACCTCAGGACTCAGTCCTGAGACTTTTTTTTTTTTTCTTTTCTCACGCATTCCTTTGGTCATCCCTTCCAGTCTCATGGTTTTGTGTTTTGTTTTGTGTATTGTGGTAAAACATACATAGCATATTTCTCATTTTAACCATCTGTTTAAGTGTACAATTCAGCGGCATTGAATACCTTGACAATGTTATGTAACCCAGTCTCATGGCTTTAAATGCCGTTTACTCATTAGCCTGGATTTCTACCCAAACACCGAGGGCTTATACCCGACTGCCTATTCAATATCTCCTCTAAGATGTCTAACAGATATTTCAAATTGTAGTTAAAAAAATTTTTGGCCCAGGCGTGGTGACTCACACCTGTAATCCCAACACTTTAGGAGGCTGAGATGGGACAACAGCTTGAGTCCAGGAGTTCGAGACCAGCCTGGACAACATAGGAAGACCCCTGTCTCAAAAAAAAAAAAAAGAAAGTTTCCATTTACTAGGTAAAAATTATCTTTTACTTAACTTTGTATTTATTTCATTGAGAATAATTGAATATTTTCTTACATGTTTATAAATCATTTGCATGGGTTTTTTTTCCCCCAAGTATACTTGCCCTTTGCTTTTCTTTTGGATTTTTTTTTTTTTTGAGACGGAGCCTCGCTCTGTTGCCCAGGCTAGAGTGCAGTGGCCGGATCTCAGCTCACTGCAAGCTCCACCTCCCGGGTTTAGGCCATTCTCCTGCCTCAGCCTCCCAAGTAGCTGGGACCACAGGCACCCGCCACCTCGCCCGGCTAGTTTTTTGTATTTTTTAGTAGAGACGGGGTTTCACCGGGTTAGCCAGGATGGTCTTGATCTCCTGACCTCGTGATCCACCCGTCTCGGCCTCCCAAAGTGCTGAGATTACAGGCTTGAGCCACCATGCCTGGCCTTCTTTTGGATTTTTAAAAAATCTCATTGATTTGTGTATAATCGTGTTAACCCTTTGCCAGGTAAATGGTAATTTCCCCCAGTTTGTCACATGCAATTTAATTTTCTTTATAACTCTGGTGCAAGAAAGTTTTACATTTTTATCTAGTCACTTCCCTTAATTGTTCCAACCTTTGGTGTAAGCAGCAATCCTTCTCCAGACCAAGACTGTAAATGTTCTCTCAACCCTCATATTCTTAGCTATCCCGTGAAAATTAAAATCATTTGTCAAGTTTTTAAAAAATCAGGTTGAGATTTTTCTTGGAATTTTGTTAAATTTATAAATAATTGTTGGAAGAAATTATATCTTTAAAAAATGATCTTCTTGTGGGAGAAAATCACGGCCTTCTACTTCGTAAGAACTATTTATATCACTTGACATAAATTATAGTTTGCTTCATATAGGGCCTAAGGGTGATGCGATGAAGTGAGGAAAATGTTCCAGAATGACAACATTTTTGAAATCCCTGAGGTAAAAGAAAATTTGCTTCCTATTAGGAAATGTGCGATGTGAAACATTAATTGTAGTGTTACATTTTTCTCCTCCTGAGAGTCTCTCCCCTCCTCTTCCCTCTCATTCAAGCAGAAAGTCTGTTTACTGCCTTAGAAAAGGAACGTGATGAGGTAGAAAGGAGAAATCACCGGCCAGTCTGACTTTCAAATTTTTCCAAAAGTCTACATTGCCACGACTTAAGATAGCAAACCAGGCACCCGTGTTAGCTACTTGTCTCTCTTGAGACCCCAGGGAAATAAAAGACTGCCATACTGATTTCTTTGCTGGCTGTCAGCCGGGGGCTGCCCTTAGTGCCCTGGGTCTTTGTCCACAGCCCTGTGTATCTCGGGACCGGCAGTGGGGTGTTAACTCACCATCTTTCTGACTCTTCCTCCATCCTCCTGTCTCTCATGGATCACAACCAGAAAGGGTTCTCTGTTTTTAAGGGCTCATACGATCCAGGGCTCACCTGGATAATCCAAGATAATCTCCCCATCTCAAATTCCTTAATCTTAATCACATCTGCAAAATCCTTTTTGCCATGTAAAGTGACATACTCGCAGTTTCCAGGAATTTGGACATGGACATCTTAGGGGAAGGCATTATTCTGCCTGCCACAGTTACCTATTTAATAAGTTCGGTACTCCAAAGAAATAGACAGAGGTGCTTTGGGGTGATAAAGTAAAATACCCTGAATTTCATACCTAAGAGAATTTGAATCTGTTTTTACTCATCTATGGTTACTGTTAGCAGAGCAGTAATTTTTTTCCTCTATGACTCTGTACCTTACAGGAACATGGGCTTGAGGTGAGGGGGAGTATCTCAGAATTTACTTTATAATTCGTGTCAGTCAGGGTATCACAAAGAAGCAGATTGCCCCAGCTGGGTAATTTAAGGGGCGTTTAATAAAGGAACTATTTATGAAGGCAGTGTTTAGAATCCCGACCTGGTAATAAGGAAGAGCTGTTACCACTCTTAGCCTGAAGAGGCGGGGAAATGGGGTGTGGGCAGGGGAAGCAATGACCAGAACCAACAAAGGATAGCTGTGTGGACAGGACTGCCTGATGAAAGGTGAAGTGGCCTTTAGGAGAGAAACACAGCTAACCCACAGCAACCTGGCAGAGAGGGAGACAGAAGCACCAATGCCCCAGTTGCACTCTGCTTCTGCCCTCCAGTGTCCTGTTGGCAGCTGTCATTGGACAAACTCAAGCAGAAGCCAAAGGGCCAAAGAGCCCATGGATACTGGTTTATTTTTTGAGACACAGAGCAGGCTGGAAAAGAGAGAGAAATGTGAATCTGGAGGGGCTGCAGAAGGGGAAGAGGGAGGCTGAGGAAGTTATGATCGTTGAGTGCTTGAAAAGAGCTTAGCCAGGCTGTTCTGGTCTCTGTCCCACCACGATCTCACTCACAACCCGCTGCTGGGTGGCCCTTCTCTCCCCCGACTTTTGGCAGGATCTTCTTCACCATCATAAGACAGTCCAGGTCAGATGGGATGTGACCCTGGTGGTTTTGTCCGTGGACTCTTGATTCTGAACCTACAGCTGCTGAAGTCATGCTTCTTGCTGACTGCTTTGGGCTATTTTGGCCTTTTCCATGGTGCCCTATGTGTTGTTTCTCTTAAGGCCCTGACAGTATTCTTCTGAATCTTCCCTGGGACCCCATGTGCTTTGAAGGGCCACTATAGCTGGGGCCCTTCAAACAGGGTGCTCTGCCCCAGTCCTAAGTGCCCTTGGAGGCTCCCAATCACACCCTCAATAGCAGTGCCAATTACAAGGCATTCTCTGCCTCCATGGCCTGGCCAACCCACAAGAGAGTCCATGATTCTGCCCTCATTGACCAAGGCCTCATCAGATTGAGCCAGCCACTGAGGGAGGGAAGTAGGGACCTGGTGGGAAAAAGGAAAGAAGCAGCCCGGAGGGAAGTGCAGACATGCCTGCCGTGGGCCAGCCAAGGGACTGGGAGACAACCAGGTGACGCTACCACCCAACCAAGCACCTCCCAGAGTCATTCAGCCTTTCTGAAGGGAAAAACCTTTCCACCCACTCTCATCATATGCAAAATCCTAACACAAAGTATAAAGAAGCAAAGCAAATAGCAAGAATTCATGACATTATGGATAGGAGGGCTTAAAAAAAATTGGTGTCATATAACTGAGTCCTTCCAAAACAGCAGCTCCTAGTCCCTTCCCACTCCACCCATATGATTCTGGTGAGTGGTGCCCATTACTGTAAAGTCCACACTCTGGCCAGGGGTACATATCTCAGTATAAGTCAAAAAGAGTTTTCTGGCCCGGTGCGGTGGCTCACACCTGTAATCCTAGCACTTTGGGAGGCCGAAGTGGCTGGATCATCTGAGGTTGGGAGTTCAAGACTAGCTTGACCAACATGGATAAACCCCATCTCTACTAAAAATACAAAATTAACTGGGCATGGTGGCGCATGCCTGTAATTCCAGCTACTTGGGAGGCTGAGGCAGGAGAATCACTTGAACCCGGGAGGCAGAGGCTGAGGTAAGCTGAGATTGCGCTATTGCACTCCAGCCTGGGCAACAAGAGTGAGACTCCGTCTTCTTTCTTGGGTTTTCCAAACTGAAACTTTTTACTGGATGCTTTTAGTAAGCATCTGACTTGCTCTGTGGAAGAAGCCAATCTTTAGCTGGAAGAACAAAACCAATGTACAGAGGGAAACAAACATGAGAGGTGGACAGATGGACACAAGAGAGGACTGATGGTTTCAAATCCCTAGATCTGGCCATCCTGAAAGATAGCTTGACTCCTGCCCTGTCTTCATTTTGGTCACATGAGTCAGTTAATTCTCCCTTTTGGCTAAGGCAATTTGAGGTGGATTCCTGTCACTCACAATCAAGGGTCTTGTATTGGGAAATCTGTCTTCAGTTAGACTAATAGCTAATTAATATGGTTTTCAAATATTAGCAAGAAATAACATCTAGACACTTGGCTACCTTGGAGAGATCTACCACTACTGAACCTTGCCTACCTGGGCTGGGCTAGGCTCTACAAAGTACATAGTGATGGAGGTGATGCTGGATGTGACGTCAAAGAGCCAGCCAATGCCAGTGATCACAATATGCAGAATGTGCTCCCGGCTGTGGACGTAGTGATAGGCAGTGCTAAAGACATTGGCAACACCCTGTAGAGACAGAAAATTCAAATAGCCTACTCTTTTTAAAATAGAAAAAATAATTAGTAATATAGTAATCGGATTACCTTTACCAGTAATTTAATTACTTCTTGATAATCTACTTCCTGCAAATTATTCAGCAGTCCTCAAAGGGCAATGTTCCAGGTTCTACTATAAAAAAAGGATCATCAAGAAATCAGAGGCATAGGCCAGGTACCGTGGCTCATGCCTTTAATCTCAGCACTTTGGGAGGCCAAGTCAGGGTGCATCACTTGAGGTCAGGAGTTTGAGACCAGCCTGGCCAACATGGTGAAACCCTGTCTCTACTAAAAATGCAAATATTAGCTGGGCATGGTGGTGGGCGCCCGTAATCCCAGCTACTTGGGAGACTGAGGCAGGAGAATGGCTTGAACTCAGGAGCTGAGATCACACGACTGCACTCCAACCTGGGAAACAGAGCAAGTTTCACAAAAAAAGAGTCAGAGGTGTAAAGAGAGAGACCCGCATAAGTTTTTATGCTTTTGATAGTCATCCAGTGAAATTTGTGATATGTGCTAGTAGAGAATAGCATCAAAGGAACAAGATAAACTTTGAAATGAGAAAAAAAATGTTAAAAAGCCAAGAACGAACACCAATCTTAGGCAGGTGGGTAGGAGCTGCCTTGATCGGATGCCAATGTTAATGCCTGCATCTGTGCAGACATGGCCACTATCATCAGATCAACAGTATAAGACATGTTTGGTTCCAAGACCCACAGCGTGCTAGATTACATAGTCCTCTTATAGGCATAAGAAGATCCTGTTCCACAGAGAAGGGATGGGAAATCCTTAGAACCCATATGTGGGCTTGTTGTCAAGAAACTCTAGGAATCACAAACTCTTCAAAATTATATGCCTTTTATCTTAGGACTCAAGGCATCTAAGGGTAACCCAGAAGCCTTTACCTCTCTCACAAGACTATATATACTTCACCTACTGATAACTTCATACTCCTCCATTTCAATATCTTCACATAATTCCATGTCAGATGAGAATGAATTTTATTATTAAAAATATGTCCAGAGAAAGAGGTTCTACCACTTTCCTCAACTATCCACCCAATAAATGGGAAGAGAAAGTGAAAAATAATGGTAAATAAACATAAGGAGCCAAAGGCTTACAGGGCAACAAATGATAAGGGCATAGCAAGTTCAAGTTCCTAACTCGCTGCTATAGTCCACAGTTCATTGTCTCCATAAAGGCTTTCGATCTTCCTTTACTGCAAGTTCTATCCACAAATTTAAAAAAAATGCTTGTAGAAATGGTCTAGCTATTTCATGACCTTAAAAGTGCCTATCATTTTGTGATCCAATTTAAAAACATGAATACTCAAGAAACATTTAGGCCTTTTTCTTTATTTTTCATCCTCAAAAATTATAACACTGAAATCAAGACCTATGGGGATGCATATCAGAGTTAGTACCATTTGTAGAAAGTACAAAAGATTTCTAGATAGATACCACTATTAGTAAAACACAAATCTGTCCCTTCTAAAAGTTCATTCCCGCTTTGTGGGTCTTAGTGGTCTAATGGTTGGATTTCTGTTCTATAGCATAAAATTCTATTCCTGTGATAAATGCTATGGGACACATGAGGCTGAGGCATGGATATGCAACTGAGGCTGAAAGTCCTCCCATAAGTAATGGGGAACTTCTCAAAAGACTGAAACATACATTCAGGGAACAGGAGCAAGAATGATGATGTTATCTGTATACACAGCTTTACTCTCATCGGATTTCAGGTTTCACTCTTTAAAAAGTATTAGAAGGAGAGGCCATCCTACCATTGCTCTTGAAGACGTCTATGACTTACCTGATAGAATCTGATCTCATGAGGTAGAAAGATGTTTATTTCGTGGGGATCTCTAAGGGTGTCAACAGCCAAGACCCCAAAGATCCTCATATATGCATCTTGAAGAGGCAGAGCCAGGAATGACCCATTACAATCATCCTTATTACGGGACTGGTCCCAGAAGAAGATGTTCCCGTGGTACTGAACTTGGGGAACATGGATCGGCTTCCCTTCATCCACTACTGTAAAGCTGAGGAAAAAGAGTACGAGGATGGAAGAAAGGCACAGGGAGAGACTTAGATTAAACCACGGAGGAAGCTAGAGCGATTCTCTATTCACAATCTGTGGCATTATATGACCGAGCAGTGGACTCGATAAGATGACCAGTTTGGAGGTCTGACTTGAGAAAGACTTAAAAAAAAAAAAAAAAAAAACTTAGATGTGGACATAGAAAACAAATATAAACAGGACTCCAGAGACATAACTTACGGAGCAGGCAGAAATAATTGAACTGATATTGTGAAGTAGAGTCCCTGTGTGGCGAATCGTTGCCAAAGAGCGAGCTCTAGAAATAGGTGAAATCATCCAGGACTGGAAGCCATCAGCTTCTACTCCAGAAGCACTGGTGACTTGAGCCACTTCTCTTTTGAGCAGCCAGCTGGGATCTTGATGCCAGTTTACTTAGAAAGGGAATTATTTTTTTAGGAGGGTAAAACCAACCTCTTAAAGACGTTCTTACCTGATTCCTTTCATGTCCCTGTAGAGCACTCTGTTCAGTACAAATAGAGCATCATCTAAGGTGCAAGCCACATTCCTCAATAGAACATTCCCTTTCTCAGGCAGTAGTAGGTTTTCTTCTAAGAGGGAAATGTGAGCACTGATCTTTTTATTTCCATGGGCTTCAGCATCCTACGGCAAAACATTTCCGACCATGTGTTTGCTAACAGCCAAAGAACTCCCCTAATCATGTCCCCCTCACTGGTTAATTCATGCATCTGACCCCAGCAGTTTCATTTTCCTGAATAAAGAATGCATATATTACTATTCATGGGCAGTGAGGAAAAAGTTGACACCATAGCTATACCCTAAATCTGAGTTTTAGTGAGGATAATGGGTTTCCTCTATGCCAACTGGCCTGGTTTACTGGAAAAGAAAAACAAAACCAGAGAACTTTCAGGTCTACTCAGATTTAGAAGTTTAAAACTTGGATTCCTTTGACCTATAGTCAAATAGTCTGTGTTTCTATTAAAAGTGTTGATTTTAGAGAGCTGGGCCAAGAATATGCCTTCACTTCACTCATATTTCTTGACCATCAACTGTGAATGTGAATGTGAAAAAAAATGCTCTCAGGGAACTCTTAACACACTTTGTATATTTGATCTTTGTAATTTCAGGAAGGATTTTTTTTTTGGGCCCAAGACTGCAGACTTTCTGTAACTACTATTTCTGTAACTACAAATTCTCTGTACCTAAAATATTATTATGTTATTAACAATATTATGTGTCAATACATACATTAAACATATCCATAAATTGGGGACATGTGAGACACTTTCCCTGATATTTTTCTCCTCTTTCTATATATTTGGGTTTGCTTTCCATGCCCATTTCTTTTGCCTTTATTCCTTCTTTCCACATACAAGATCATGGAGTCATTAACAAATGTGTAGTGAGATTTCTCTCACAATACCACAGATCTCTGAAGCAAGCTAGAACAATGCCTCTTTTTCTTGAGTGGTTGTTTGGTCCCGGTGCCCCATTTCCAACTACACTGGAAAATTCAGCCATTCAGGAGATGATTCCATTGAGCAAGTGTCGCTACTTAGCTGAGATGACTGGAACAGGTTCCCTGGATCAGTGGAATCTATGATACATGTAGAAGGCAGCCATGCTGTTTCTGCCTGTGAACAGCAGCAACCTGGGAGTCTCTGAGGAGGTGGCAAGGCTGTAGGCAGTGGCCCCTCACGGCCATGCGTTCTAAGTGACAGGATTCTGCAGTAGTCTCAGCTTGCTTCTAGGCAATGCTGTGAAATACTGTGTGGTGTCAGACTCGATAATGAGTTTATGATTTAAATAGTTCCTTTTAAAACTGACTCCCAAAATACCATGCAAGGGAAATGTAGCTTGAACTGCTTGTACAGCTTGTTACTGATATTTTACATAATCTGTCTATTGTCCATTCTAGGCTTATTTGACTCTGAGCAGAAATGAAATTAGAAATCCCAAGACATCTCTTCTACATCTGTCTTTTCTACCTTTCTACTCTGCTTCTATCTTGTCAACCAGCAGTCACTCCAGTTGCGCGTCTCCTAGGCTTCGGGCCATTTGTAATGGACTGGGATGAATAAAATATCTATAGCAGCACCCAGCGATTTTTCAAGAGAATTCAGGATGCTCCTCTTTTGCGGATATTGAACATCGCCTACTGTGAGGAGATGTTTCCTCTCACACACCACTTTAGAAAACGTACCTGCGTGAGGGCCTTAAAGGCCTCACTATACACCGGCTCTAGGGACACTCCACTTGTCTCTGCAGCACGTTGGATTTGGTGCAGCCACTTCCGCCTGGCACAATTCCTCAGACTCTCAATGTGGCACCTTTCTAAAGCATTCATCAGAAATTCCACAACACTTTCCAGAACTTGGTCTTCATTGCCCCTGAGTTCAGATACAACCAATTCTATGTAATTCTGAAATTGTTTTGAAGACAATCTCACTTCGTGACCAGGGTGTGGCTTTGGAAATTGGATGTGTAGTTTAGCTAAAAGACACAAACACAAAACCAAGAACTAACCAAAAGTTCACTCATCGGTGGGGGGAATTTTCATTCTCCTCTTACGATGAACTGCCCTGGACGACTGCTCTAGTGGAAAACCAAGTATATCAAAGGCATCTCTGAGCCCAATGGAATATTTTACAATGAATTTCTATGCTGAACTCAATATGACTCATGTGTCAACTTCTTTGTTTTTGTTTTGTTTTGTTTTGATTTTGCCACCTAGCCTGGTGAAACCTCAAGGTTTGCTTTGATTCCTTCCCTACCTTTGCCTTCCATATCCAATAAGCCACTTAATTCTATCCTGTTACTCTTTGGCAGTGTAGCCACTCCTCTCCTTTCATACTTTCATAACCCCAAAGCCAGCTTTTATCACTTTGTAATTGACTTAACAATAGTAAATGCTCAATACATGTTTGTAAAATTAAATTAAAACACAACTTGCATTAGGCAATTCCCTGGTTCAAAGTCCTACCATATTTGGATCCAGTCTATTTCCAATCACATCTGCCCCTAATACCATATAGGAATTATTTGCTGCAGTATCTCCATTCTACTCATGGTTCCTGACCATGTCTTGCACACTTCTGTATTCACATCTCTTCTCTATTTTTGTGATTGTATAATCATGAACCTACTACCAAATATGAACATTACCAGTAACATATATTCTTCTGTGATCTGCCCTATTCCATTCCCTGCCTCCTCACACCTCCCACTGATATCCTGAATTTGGCTTTATCTTTACCGTTCTTTTAATTTTCCCAGTGTTATTATATTACATAACAATATATGTGTTTGACACGCACACACACACACACACACACGCACATGCACACACACACTTCTAAACAATATGTGGTTTAGTTTTGCATTTTTAAAATTTATTTATTTATTTGAGACAGAGTCTAGCTCTGTTACCCAGGCGGGAGTGTAGTGGCACAATCTTGGCTCACTGCAACCTCCACCTCCCAGATTCAAGCGATTCTCCTGCCTCAGTCTCCTAAGTAGCTGGGATTACAGGTGTGCACCACCATGCCTGGCTAATTTTTATATTTTCAGTAGAGGTGGGGTTTCACCATATTGGCCAGACTGGTCTCAAACTCCTGACCTCAGATGATCTGCCCCCTCAGCCTCCCAAAGTGCTGGGATTATAGGTATAGCCACCGAGCTCAGCCAGTTTTTCATGTTTATAAACTTTAGAAAAAGGTTATCAAACCATGTGTAGTTTTCTGGGACATACTTTTTTATTCAACACTATGCTACATATCTTCCTTGTTGTTTATCTTTCCAACATATCTTTCCATGTTGTTACTGTAGCTATGATTCATTCATTTTCACCAGTGTATGTTATTATATGAGTATATCATTACTGATTCAGTCTACTATCAGTGGGTGTTTAAGTTATTCTCAATATTTTACTCATATGAACAGTGTTATGAGCATTTCGTAAATGTCTCCTGGTGCATATGTGCAAGATTCTTTGACAGTTGTTATAAATTAATAAGTCACAGGGTATGTACCCTTCCCCTTTAAAGTATAGTTCAAAGTTCCTCCTCCCTCAAGAAGACTTCTGTTGTGATTTATCCTTCTCTTGAAAGACAATAGCATCTATTCTACACCATTTATTTGGCAATTAACAAATACTACCTGGCACTTGTGGACATCATATCATGTGTGAGCTTCTCATTTCTGTAGCTGAACATTTATTGATTTTTTACTCCTTAGCATCCAGTCACCTTTCTCTGAGTAATTGTATCTCTAACTTTGCTTTGGGGAAGCAACTTCATTCCCATCTCCGGTCATGTGTTTGAATGGGGTTCCATTCACAGTTCTAGAGGTGGAGCATGTGCCTCAGGCTTAAGCCAGTCATGACATTCTATTCCTTTAGCCAGAGTGGTTGGTTTAGTACTGACGAATGCCAGACTTTTTGATTGAATGATTAGGAAGAAGATACTTTCTTTTTTATTCCCATTGGACTTGAATGAAACTGTGAGCATGTGAAACTGGACCTGGTTACCACAAAGGTAGAGGCTGTATGATAGTGCAGCTAAAACAGAAGACAGCAAGAGAAAGAGAAAGAACCAGACAGCTGTCCTAATGTCATTATTTGGATTCCCAAATCTAGTTGTGTCCTAAACTAGTACTGGACTTTTTCATTGTATGAACCAATAAATTCCTCTTATGTGTAAACACTTTGGGTTGGGTTCTCTATTACTTGAGCCAAAAGGATCTTAACTAGTACAATCCTCAATTAGATTAAAAGTGCCTTGTGGCTTCTTCATCCTCCATTTCTTCTTCTTTTTTCCCTTTCATTCTTTTGCCTCCTTGAACAATTTGATCCTAAAGTCATTAGGTGGGGCAGAGCAAGGTAAGCATCTGTTCCTGGTCAGGTGAAGTCAATGTGGCACCAAACAGGATATCAGGGCCCAAATCTGTGCAGGGTTAGCTGGGCAAGAGTTGTCAGAGCCTGAGCAGGGCGAGGAGGGTATCCATGTGGAAGGGCAATCTTCGGTCCATGTGGGTAAAGAGGATGGCCTTACAGAGAGGTGGTTTAACTTGGGTGTCAGATTCCAAGCAGTACAAATAGGGTATCCATATGAGACGGATGTCCAACATGGGGTGTTTAATCTTGAGCAGGGTGAGAAGGGCCTCCAAATCGAGGGATGGCCTGGCCTGGGAGGTCAGAACCTAAACAGGGTGAGGAGGGTGTCTACATGGAAGGGCCATCCACATAGGTTGGGGGTCAGCTCAGCGTAAGGAGTCAGAGCCTGAGTGGATTGACAAGGGCATCCACATGAAAATGTGCCTTGGCATGGAGTGTCAGAGCCTAAGGACTATGTAAAGGACATCCACTTGGAGGGGGTGATCTGTTGTGGGCTATCAGAACCTAAGCAGAGTAAGGAGGATAGCCATGTGGGAAGGGCCGATTAGTGCAAGATGTTAGAACTTAAATGTAGTAAAAAGGAAATCAGTGTGGAAGAGAGGACAGCAACAGTGCTGGAAGATTAGTTCCATATAGAACTAATGGATTCATTGGGGGATCGATCAAATAAATAAATATATTTAGGATAACACAGCCAGAGAAAACGGAACTACAAAAGGGAATGAGAAAAAACTAGAATTAACCCTGTTGTGTTGGATTGGACTTGGAATTACCAGTGTGAACTCATGGTTTTTAATATTAGTAGACAGAAAGGTACGTGCCGATATAAATGTATACATGTACACGCACAGGTGTGCACGAGTGCGTGCATGCATACACATACACACACATACACACACACACACATACAGTTTCCACAGCTGTCCACTGAGAAATCTGAGAGAGGAGACTCACGAGTAATGAGCACGTGTAGAACCCAGATGCTGGCTTGGGGAGATGGATGATTCCAGGGTGAAAGAAGGGAAAATATAAGACCAACCTGGAAGATCTCTTTGTGCCAGAAAGCAAGGACATGCTCAAAGAATGAGGGATACATGTTAAAAGGATGCAGAAAATTGGCAGAAAATTGGCAGTTTTTTATACAGCTAAACATATATATTCCACTCCTAAGTATTCATTAATAAGAAATGAAAACATAGTCACCAGAAGATTTACTTAAGATTGTGAAGAGTAGCTTTATTTATAATAGCTGAGAACTGGAAACAGCCCAAGTGTCCATACATTGGAAAATGGATAAACAAACCATGGTATATTCATCCAATGGAATACTCCTCAGCAATAAAAAGAAGCAAATTGCTGATACATGTAGCAACATATTAAGACTCTCAAGAAAAATTATGCTGAGTCGACCAGGCCCAGTGGCTTATGACTGTAATCCAGAGCTTTGGGAGGCTGAGCAGGGAGGATCACTTGAGGCCAAGAGTTAGTGCCCCACCTGGGCAACATGATGTCTCTACAAAAAGTTGATAAACTAGCCAGGCATGGTGGTGTGCACCTGTAGTCTCCCAGCTGCTTGGGAGGCTGAGGCGGGAGGATTGCTTGTGCCCAGGAGTTCAAGGCTGCAGTGAGTTATGATCACACGCCACTACACTCCAGCCTGGGCAACAGAGTGAGACTCTGTCTCCCTGAAAATGTTAAAAAATAAAAGTAAAAATTATACTGAGTGAAAGAAGGCATACACAAAAGAGTACATAGAGTTTAAACTCTGTAAAAACAAGGTGCATACTGTATAATTTCATTTTTATGAAATTCCAGATAATACTAAAGAGATCAAACTAATTTATGGTAGAAAATAGAAAAGTGGTTGCTTTGGGGACTGGAGGGTGGGCGACTGAATAGGAAAGAGGAGTGAGGACTTGTTTTGTTCTATATCTTTTATTTAATTATTATTTTTTAAGAGATGGGTTTTTTATTTTTTTAAGAGATGGGTTTTGCGATGTTACCCAGGCTGATCTCGAACTCCTGGGCTCAAGCGATCTTCCTGCCTCTGCCTCTCGAGTAGCTGGGATTACAGGTGTGTTACTGTGCTATTTGTTCTGTATCTTGATAGGAGTATGGGGTGCACAGGGCATGTATTTGTCAAAACTCAGCAAATATACACTTAAAATTCGTACATCTCATTTTATGGAAATTTGGTTTCAAGAGGAAAAAACTTCCTTCTTTCCCCATGTGCAAAAAGAAAGAAAAAAACTGTTAATAAATATCAAACTCTAATTAATGATACGCATGCTGAGGTATTTAGGGAGAAGCGTATTGATTTCTATAATTTTCTTAAAATGCGCTACATGCATCAAAAATAAGAGAGATGGAAGGATTGAGGGACAGGGAGATGAATAGACAGATTAAAAAGTGAGGTAAAATATTAATGAAGTGAGGTAAAATAAAAATGATTAATTTATGTGGTGGGTATATAGGTATCGCTGTAAAATTCTTTCAGCTTTGCCATGTTTGACAGTTTTCATAATGAAATGCTGGGGTCGGGCATGGTGACTCACGCCTGTAATCCCAGCACTTCGGGAGACTGAGGTGAGAGGGTTGCTTCAGGCCAGGAGTTTGTGACCAGCATGGGCAACACAGAGAGACACCATCCATACCAAAAATTAGAAAAATGAGCCAGGCTTGCGACGCATACCTGTAGTCCCGGTTGCTCGGGAGTCTGTGGTGGGAGGATGATCACTTGAGTCCAGGAGTTGGAGGCTGCAGCGAGCTACAGTTGTGCCACTGCACTCCAGACTGAGTGAGAGAGTGAGACCTGGTGTCAAACACACACACACACACACACACACACACACACACACACACAAAACCATGGGCGTGGGGAGGGGAGGACACAGGAGCCAGAGTGAAAGAACTCCCATTGTCTAAAACTGGGACAATATGAGTATCAAAACAAATAGTGATAGTATTGGATTATAACCCATTGAATAAAAAAGGAAACCATGAACACATACTGCTATAAATGAATAAATGAAAAGTTGACAAAAAGGAAGAATGGTTTATACGGTTTCAATGGACACCCATGAAGTACTGACTAATTACAAAGGGGGAAAAAACAGCTTTAAAGTGGAGGGGCCTGATAGATATAATCTTAATCAACTGGTCAACGTTGTTACTATGGGACTTCTGATCAGATACAATGAGAAGAACACAGCATTGCTTCTGTGATATATTTCTGACAAAGATGAATAACCTGAATTTAACCATGGGGAAACAGTTGATAAATCAAAATGAAGGACATACTGCAACCAACTTATAATCTTCAAAAGTGTCAAGGTTATGGAAATCAAAGAAAGATGGAAGACTTTCTTAGAGATTCTTTATTCCAGGGTTCCAGAGCAAAGGAATAGCAAAAGGAGTTTTATGCTAGCTACTTGTCCAGTTTTCAGTTTCTTTAAAAAACTCTTGTGTGCTTTTCAATGAGACTTTTAAATAACTATGGCTCTTAATTTTCATGGTTTCTGTAACTTTGTGACAAAAAGTATCACCAAAATGCTTTTTGTTGTTTTGTTTTAAAATAAATGTTTTATTACTTCCAACTGTACTTTTTGCCTTTATTATTTTTAATTGATGCATAATTGTCCATATTTATGGGGTACAGAGTGTTATTTCAATACATGTACACAATATATAATAATCAAATCAGCATAATGAGCATATACATCACCTCAAACATTTATCACTTCTTTGTGTTGGGAACATTCAAAATCTGCTCTTCCAGCTATTTGAAAATATACAACAAATTGCTGTTAATTATAGTTACTCTACAGTGCTACAGAACACTATAACTTACGCCTCATATCTAGCTGTACTTTTGTATCCATTAACCAACCTTTGGATATCCCCTCTACCCTTAACCTTCCCTGTCTCTAGTAATCACTATTCTACTTTCTCCTTAAATAAGCTCAACTTTTTTAGCTTCAACATATGAGTAACAACATGTAACATTTATCTTTTTGTGCCTGACTTATTTCATTTAACATAATGCCCTCCAACCTCATCTATGTTGCTTCAAATGACAGAATTTTTTCTTTTTGGTGGCTAAATACTATTGCATTGTGTATATAGACCAATTTTTTTTATCCATTCATCTGCTGATAGACACTTAGGCTGATCTCATATCTCAGCTATTGTGAGTAATGCAGCAATACACATGGGAATGTAGAAATCTCTTTGACATACTTATTTCCTTTTTTTTGGATATATACTTTGAGTGGGATTACTAGATCATACAGTAGTTTTGTTTTTAGTGTTTTCAGGGACCTCCATACTGTTTTCAGTAATGGCTGTACTAATTTACATCACACCAACAATGTCTAAGGGTTTCCCTTTGTCTGCATCCTCGCCAGCATTTGTTATTTTTTGTGCCACGGTGAGAAAATACCTCATTGTGGTTTTGATTTGTATTTCCCTGATTAGTGATGTTAGGCATTTTTTCATATACCTGTTGATCATTTTTCTTTTGAGAGATGTCTATTCAGCTCATTTACCCTTTTTTCATTTGAATTATTTGATTTTTCTTTTTCTTTTTTTGGCTATTGCTTTGTCTGAGTTCCTTGTATATTTTGAATATTAATCCCTTGTCAGATGAATAGTTTGAAAATATTTTCTCCCCTTCTGCAGGTTGTCTCTTCACTCCATTGATTGTTTCCTTTGCAGTGCAGAAGCTTTTTAGTTTGAAATAATCCCACTTGTCTAATTTTGTTTTTGTTGCCTGTGCTTTTGAGGTCTTTTCCATAAAAAATTTGCCTAGACCAATGTCCTGAAGTGTTTCCCTTATGTTTTCATGAGTAGTTTCATAGTCTGGGGGGTCTTACATTTTAAGTCCTTGATCCATTTGAAGTTTTTTTTTTTTTTTTTTTTTTTTGAGACGGAATCTTGCTCTGTCACCTAGGCTGGAGTGCAGGGGCACAATCTGGGCTCACTGCAACCTCTGCCTCCTGGGTTCAAGCAATTTTCCTGTCTCAGCCTCCCGAGTAGCTGGGACTACAGGCGTGCACCACCATGCCTGGCTAATTTTTGTATTTTTAGTAGAGACAGGGTATTGCCATGTTGGCCAGGCTAGTCTGGAACTCCTGACCTCAGGTGATCCACCTGCCTCGGCCTCCCAAAGTGCTGGGATTACAGGTATAAGCCACAGTGCCTGGCCCATTTTGAGTTTATTTTTATATATGATGAGAGATAGGGGTCTAGTTTTATTTTCCTTCATATGAACATCCGATTTCCCCAGCAATATTTGTTGAAGAAACTCTCCCTTTCCCAATGAATGTTCTTGGCACCTTTGTTGAAAATCAGTTGGCTGTAAATATATGCATTTCTTTCTGGGTTCTCTATTCTGTTCCATTGGTCTATGTGTTTTTATGCCAGTACCATGCTGTTTGGGTTACTAGAGATTTGTAGTATATTTTAAAGTCTGGTAGTGTGTTATCTATTTGTTCTTTTTGTTCAGGATTGTTTTGGCTATCCATGGCATTTTGGATAGCCAAATTTTCGAATTTTTTGTTTATTTAGGTGAAAAATGCTATTGGTATTTGATCGGGATTGTGTTGAATCTGTAGATTGCTTTTGGTAGTATGGTCATTTTCTTTTTCTTTTTCTTTTTTTTAAAGGGGCTGTAATTGTATTTATTAGATTAACAAGGCAAATGTGAATTTTCTTTTCTATGTTCCGGTGAGTCTGTATTGGTTGACTCAGACAGACAGGAAGCCACAAGGAAACAAAGAAGTAATCATTTGTTGAGAGATGTGATTAACTATGTTCTTCCCTGAAGCTACTGGGATGGGAAAGGTCAGTGACTTCCTTAGAACCCTGAGACAATTGGGGGCTCTGGAGACCTGCTGTGCCCCTGCTACTGGAGCAGCCCCCCTGCCAAGGCAGCCTCAAGTTCAGGAACAACTAATTACCAGCTCCGGCATTCAGTTTGTCTAGCCTTATGATGGCTACATAGGCCACTTGCCGCTGTTTTCTTTTTCAGCTGAACACCATCGGCCTGGGTATCCCTTTTGGGGGAATATGTCTGTCTGTCTGAACCCCTTTCTCTTCAAATGGCTCTGTGGTAAAATCTGGTCATACCATGCTCCAGCACCAGGGGTACATGAGAGTACGCAGTCTGTGAGCGCCCATGAGGACTCTCGTGCTGGGCCCCCGGAGCCCAGGCTAGCTGTGGTACCAGTCGAGGAAGAGAAAGGAGAAGGAGCACACATCATGGGGAAGAAGAGGATTCACACGTGGAAGCCAGCGTTGTTGTTAATGGCCTCTCTTATGTCTTTGTTGCCTTCCTTGATATTTTCAGTTGCCCCCACAACTAACTGGTGAATGCTATCAATCTCAGCTTCCTGTGGCAAAACCTTTTCCGTGAATATCTCTTGAAGTCTGGAAATCTCAACCACTCTCCCTTCGATCTGCCTCACTTCATCAAACAAGCTGTTCATTTCACCAATTCGTCGCTGATTTTCCAGTTCAAACATTTGTATTTCTTCTGGGGATAATTCATCTTCACCTTTGCCATCTCCCCAGGTTCCCAATTCAGGCTGTGTTTCAGCCAAAATCTTTTCTGGATGTTCTTCAGTGGCAGGGTTTTCTTCAGAGTCTTTTGAAGGACTCTGTGAAACTTTCTCAGATGTGGATTCTCTTGTCTTTGTATTTGGTTCTGGTTTCAGCTTAGATAATCTTTTCTTATCCACCACTCTTAACTCGGATGGCTCTTTGTTCTGAGTAAAGTTTACACACTGTTTTTTTTTAAGTAGTCTTCAATGAAATCCAAAACAGCAGTCCTGTGCTCCTTCACTGCTGGGAATGTATCTCCTTGTGAGCTTCTGTTCGTACTTGTTGAATTGTTTCTGAACAGGTCCTCATGGATATCTGGACATCCTGGTCTATCTGGTCTCGTTCTGTGTCTGTCATCCTCCCAGGTTCAGACATGGTATAGCTATAAGCATTAATATAATCTTTCCTGTGTTCCAGAAGACAGTCTCTCAGTTTGCCAATGTGAGAAATCACTTCATGGGCCCGGCTGGAGAAGTCGCCCTTGGGCCAGGGACTGCGGCGGAACAGCTCATCCCGGCTGCCATCGACTCCGCCGCTCACCGCCACTCCCAGCGCCTTGTTCTGCGTCTTCACGGTCTTGACACTGGTCCGGAATAGCAGCGTGATGTCTACCGCCCTAGCGACCGGCACCAGCAGCCCCACACGGGACCTGCCCGCGTCAGCAGCTGGCGACAGCGGTAGTATGGTCATTTTCACAAGTTTAATTTTTCCAATCCATGAACGTGAGATGTCTTCCATTTTTTGGTGTCCTCTTCAATTTCTTTCATCAGCGTTTTACAGTTTTCCTTGTAGACGTCTTTCACCTCCCTGGTTAAATTTATTCCTATGTATTGTATTTTTTTGTGGCTACTGTAAATGGGGTTACTTTTAAAATTTCTTTTTCTTCTGGTTGATTGCTAATGTATAGAAATGCTACTTTTTTTTTTTTTTTTTTACGGAGTCTCGCTCTGTCGCCCAGGCTGGAGTGCAGAGGCGCGATCTCGGCTCACTGCAAGCTCCGCCTCCGGGGTTCACGCCATTCTCCTGCCTCAGCCTCCTGAGTAGCTGGGACTACAGGCGCCCACCACCACGTTCGGCTAATTTTTTGTATTTTTAGTAGAGACGGGGTTTCACCGTGTTAGCCAGGATGGTCTCGATCTCCTGACCTCGTGATCTGCCTACCTCGGCCTCCCAAAGTGCTGGAATTACAGGCGTGAGCCACCACACCCGGCCTACTGATTTTTATATGTTGATTTTGTATCCTGCAACTGTACTGAATTCGTTGATCAGTTTTAATAATTTTTTGGTGGAGCTTTTAGGGTTTTTTATATATAAGATCATGTCATCTACAACAGGGACAATTTGACTTTCTCTTTTCCAATTAGATGCCCTTTATTTCTGTCTCTTTCCTAACTGCTCTGGCTAGGACATCTAGAATAAACGAATGTGGAATAAAAGTGGTGAAAGTGGGCATCTTTTTCTCATTCCAGATCTTAGAAAAAAATATTTCAACTTTCCCCCATTTAGTATGATGTTGCCTTTGTTATGTATGACCTTTCTTGTGTTGAGGTATTTTCCTTCTAAACCTAACTTGTTGAGAGTTTTTATCATGAAGGAATATTGAATTTTATCAAATGCTTTTCCTGCATCTATTGAGAGGGTCATATGATTTTTTGTCTATTCTGTTGATGGGATGTATCATGGTTATTGATATTTGTATGTTAAATCATCTTTGCATTATTGGGATAAATCCCAGTTGATCAGGGTGAATGATCTTTTATTTCCTTCTTCTTATTATTATTATAGAGACAGGGTCTCATTATGTTGCCCAGACTAGTCTCAAACTATTGGGCTCAAGTGATCCTCCTGTCCTGGCCCCCCAAAGTGCTGGGATTAGAGGTAAAGGCCACCACACCCAGCCTTTCTTTTATTCTCTGTGAGAATGATCTTTTTAATGTGTTGCTGGATTCAGTTTGCTAGCATTTTGTTGAGAATCTTACATTTATGTTCATTAGGGATACTGGCTTATAATTCTGTTTCTGTTGTTGTGTTCTTGTCTGGTGTTAGTATTAGCATAATGCTGGCCTCATAGAATGAGTTTGGAAGAATTCCTTCCTCTTCAATTTTCTAAAAGAGTTTGAGAAGAACTGATATTAGATATTCTTTAAATATTTGGTAGAATTCTGCAGTGGAGTCATCAGATCCTGGGCTTTTCTTTGATGAGAGACATTTTATTACAGATTAAATCTTGTTAATTGTGATTGGTCTGTTCAGGTTTTCTATTCCTTTTTGCTTCAATCTTGGTAGGTTGTACGTATCCAGGAATTTATCCATTCCTGCTAGGTTTTCTATTATGTTGGCATATAGTTTGTAATAGTCACTAATGATTCCTTGTATTGCTGTGGTGTCAGTAGTAATGTCTCCTTTTTCATTTCTGATTTTATTCACTTGGGTCTTTTTTTTCTCGGTTAGTCTAGCTAATGGTTTGGCAATATGGTTTATCTTTTACAAAACCAACTTTTTGTTTTGTTGATTTTTTGGGTTTTTTTGGTCTTAATTTTATTTATTTCTGCTTTGATCTTTATTATTTCTTTTTTCTACTAGTTTTGAGTCTGGTTTATTCTTGCTTTTCAAATTCCTTGAGATGCATTGTTAGATTGTTTATTTGAAACCTTTCTACAATTTTGATATGAGCATTTATTTCTATAAACTTCCCTTTCAATACTGCTTTTTCTGTATTTCATAGGTTTTAGTATGTTGTGTTTCTATTTTCACTCGTTCCAAGAAATCTTATGATGTCATGGGACCTCAGTAGAAGAAATTTTTAAAAATAAATTAAAAAGTAAAAAAGTAAAAATTACAAAAAAAATTAAATTCCCTTCTTAATTTCTTCACTGACCCACTGCTCATTCAGGAGCATGTTGTTTGAATTCTAAAGTTGCTCTTGTTATTGATTTCTATTTTTATTTCATTGAGGTCAGAAAAGATATTTGATATGATTTCAATTTCTTTAAATTTAATAAGATTTGTTTTCTGACTTAACATGTGATCTATCCTGGAGAATGTTCCATGGGCTGAAAAAAAAGAGGTGTATTCTGCAGCTAGCTGTTGGATGAAATGTTCTATAAATATCTGTTATGTCCATTTGGTCTAATGTTTAGTTTAAATCCAATGTTTCTTTATTGATTTTCTGCCTAAATGATCTGTCCCATTTATTGATTTTCTGTCTAAATGATCTGTCCCATGCTGAGAGTAGGGTGTTGAAGTCCCCAACTATTACTGTATTACAGTTTATCTCTTCCTTTAGATTTAATAATATTTGCTTTATAATATTGGAGTGCTCTGATGTTGGGTGCATGTATGTTTAGAGTTGTTCTCTTGCTGAATTGATCCCTTTATCATTATATAATGACATTTTTCTCTTTTTACAGTTTTGACTTAAAGTCTGTTTTGTCTAAGTATAGCTACTCCTGCTTGCTTTCAATTTCCATTCATGTGAAATATCTTTTTCCATCCCTTCACTTTCAGTCTACATATGTCTTTACAGGTGAACCGAGTTTCTTCTAGGCAGCATATAGTTAGGTCATTTTTTGTTTGTTTGTTTGTTTGTTTGTTTTGAGACAGAACCTGGCTCTGTCACCCAGGCTGGAGTGCAGTGGTGCAATCTTGGCTCACTGCAACCTCTGCCTCCTGGGTTCAAGCAATTCTCCCACGTCAGCCTCCCAAGTAGCTGGGACTACAGGCACGTGCCATCACACCCAGTTAATTTTCATATTTTTAGTAGAGATGGGATTTCACCATTTTGGCCAGGATGGTTTCAATCTCTTGACCCTGTGATCCACCTGCCTCGGCTCCCAAAGTGCTGGGATTACAGGAATGAGCCACTGCACCTGGCCAGTTAGGTCATGTTTTTAATTTAGTCAGTTAATCTATATCTTTTAAGTGGGGGATTTAATCCATTTATATTCAAAGCTATTGTTGATAGGTGAGTACTTACTCCTGTCATTTTGTTAATTGTTTTCTGGTTGTTTTGTATATCCTTTGTTCCTTTTTTCCCCTCTTATTAGTATTGCAGTGTACTGGTTTTCTTTGGTGATAGGATTTGATTCTTTTATTTCTCCTTTGTATATCTGCCCTACCAGTGAGTTTCATATTTTTGCAGGTTTTCATGATAGTGATTATCATCTTTTCACTTCCAGATATAGGGCTCCCTTGAGCATTTCTTGTAAGGCCAGTTTAGTGGTGATACTTTCCCTCAGTTTTTGCATATCTGTGAAAGACTTTATTGTTCTCTCATTTCTGAAGGACAGTTTTTCTGTATATACTATTCTTGGTTGGCAAATTTTTTTTTCTTTCAGCACTTTGAATATATCATCCCATTCTCCTATGGCCTATAAGATTTCTGCAACAAATTCTGTTGTTATTCTAATGGGGACTCCAATGTTAGTCTAATGGTGATTCCCTTATATGTGACTTTTCTCTGGCTTTCCCTTATATGATACTTTTCTCTGGCTGTTTTTAGAGTTCTCTCTTTGTCTTTGACTTTTGACAATTTGACCTTAATTTGCCTTGCGGAGGAATTTTAGGCTGTATCTATTTGGGAAATTTTGAGCTTCCTGGATCTGGATGTCCATATGTCTCCCCAGACTTGGGAAGTTTCCAGCTATTGTTTTGTTAAATAGGTTTCCAACATATTTTCCCTTCTCTTCTCCTTCTGGAAGTCCCATAATACAAATATTTGTTCACTTAATAGTGATAATTGTAGGCTTTCTTCACTCTTTTTCATTCTTATTTCTTTTTTCTTTCTCTGACTGGGTAATTTCAAATGGCCTATCTTCAAGTTCAGAGATTAGTTTTTCTGCTTGATTAATAAGTCTGCTGGTGAAGCTCTCTATTGTATTTCTATTTCATTCATTGAATTCTTCAGCTGCAGGGTTTCTGTCTGCTTCTTTTTTATGACTTCCATCTCTTTGTTGAATTTCTCATTCATATGGGGATTTGTTTTCCTGATTTTGTTGAACTGTCAACCTGAATTTTCTTGTCTTGTTGAGTTTCCTTAAGATCATTATTTTAAATTCCTTTCCTGGCAATTAATTAATTTCCTTTCTTCAGTGTCTGTTATTAGAGAGTTATATTCCTTCAGTAGTGCCATATTTCCTTGCTTTATCATGTTTCTTGTGTACCTGCATTGATGTCTGTGTACTTGGTGGAATAACTGCCTCTTCCAAACTTTCTAGAGTGGCTTTTATAGAGGAAGATTTTCACCTGTAGTTGAAATTTTGTGTGCTCATTGGGATGGATGTGGCCACATTGTTTCCAGATAGGTGAAATGGTATAGTCTCTGTGCAGTTTCTTTAACTGTGTTCAACATCAGCAATACCTGTGGGCACCTCAGTGGCCTTGGCTGTAGAAAGTTTGTGAGAGCAGCAGCAGCGGCATATGTTATTAATGTCCTTGAAGTTGAGGGCTTTTGGAGTCCTCCTACTCTTGTTTTCCCCACAATGGGGAAACTTAGCTGAGGGGGATCCCTCTTGGTGTCAGGTCTGACATGGCCTATAAGCAGCTGCAGTGGCACTGGGTTCCAGGTGCAGTTGCTCAGAGCAGGTGTGGGGTTAGGGTCCTAAGCACAGGATCTCCCAAACTTATTGTGGCTCCTGAGTCTTGGGGTGCAGGTTTGGTTTCTGTGGCAAGGTTGGGTGTAGGTTGCTCATAGAGACACGATCTGTGACTCTGAGGCACGTCCTAGCAGCTTGAGCCCAGGAGGCTGAGCTGTAGCTGTGATTTTACCCCTGGGGGGCAGGGCACAGCACTGGCCTGACTCCAGAGAGGAAGCTTGCTGTGGAGGTTTGGGCCCAGGAGGAGGATATGGTTGCAATATGGGAACCTAAACAAATAAAACTCAAAGGCAACTCAGGTCTCAGGGCATGAGGCACTGTGTAGTAGTGACACGAGACCATGGAATGGTGGGGCTCAGCATTATCCAAGACACTGTAAGACCAGGTACAATGGCAGCAAGTAACCCAGAAAAGCAGAGCACAGCTGTTCTTCGGGCCTTAGGAAGTACAAGGAAAAGAATAGCAGTGACTCCACTTCCCAGGGAGAGGGGTATTTCAGCCACTCAGACTCTAGGGGTCTAGTACAGCTCCAGAGAAGCCAGGTACTAGAGTTGTTTGGACTGTAAGGCAGAGTTCCTTAGTTCAGCCAATGCTCTGTTTCCTTGGGACACAGGTTACGACATCAACTCAGCACTGGGTTGTGTAGCAGCTCAGTTTGGCCAGGGTACCAATTCCCAGAGGGCAATGTGCTGCTTCAGTTCAGGGCTGGGGGTGGCCAAGGCACCATTTCTGGGGATGCAGGGAGTTTCTTCAACTTAGGCACTGAGGAGGAATGACTGCTTTGAGTGGCCAATGAATTGTTTTTCTAGGAGGCAAAGTACTGTCTCAGCTTTGGCCCAAGGGAATGAGGGGAGAGGGAGATGGAGTGACTCCACCTCCACTTGGCCTCATGTGGAAGAGTGCTTGCAGCTCTGCTTGGGGATGCTGGGCCACTGGCCTGAGATGGTTTGGTGGTGGCTTAGCCCCAGGGATGAAGGGGTGTCGTGACTACTCACCCCTGAGAAAGACACACTCCAGCCGTAGTTCCAATCCCAAGTTGGTGTAGTGCAGTAGCCACATGTGCCACAAGGGTCAGGGCACTGTGTCAGCTTCTTCTCTGGGGAGAGCACAGGTATGTGGTCTAGAGGCAGCTCCCTCAGCTGGGCTTAATGCCTGTGAGGACTGCAGGGGACCCCAGCAGTGAGCTGTGTAGGTGTCCAGGGTGTCGATGGGGGCTGCTGGGATCCTTTTGCTTACTTTCACTTCATAGGTAGAAGTTCTTCCCAGTTCCCACCTGATCCTGGTTGGGGGATGGGGTAGTGGAGACCTGGCATTGCCTTCTGTTCTCTATGTGGCCATCTTGAGTTTCTGTGCTCACCAGGATTTCTGCTACTCCTCTGAGGCAAGATGGCACTCTCCCTCAGTTATTTTTCTTATGTAGTTGTTTATTTGTTGTTCTGGCTTGTCTTTGTGAGGGAAACAGGCCCTAAGGGCTTCTAGTTGGCCATCTTGCTGATGTTACCAAAATAAATGTTTCTAAAATGTTTTAATTATAAAAGAGTTAAATGTCCTACTGAAATAGAAATGAACATATTAAAGCAAATTTAGTCATTCAAATAGAAAATTAAAAGGCAAACCCAATAATGTTAATAGCTATCCTATGAAAAGTAATGGAGAAAAAATTACTTATTCCATTAAATTCAACAATGCAGACAGGTCACATGTTCTATAGCTTTTATTTGTGATGTTTCTGCCCAAAAAGATTAGGTTGTATCAGACAGGAATGAAAGGGGAAATGAGGCTGGGTGCAGTGGCTCACACCTGTAATCCCAGAACTTTGGGAGACTGAAGCAGGAGGATCTCTTGAGCCCAGGAATTTAAGACCAGCCTGGGCAACATAGTGAGACCCTGTCTTAAAAAAAATAGCCAGGCATGGTGGCACCGTCTATAGTCTTAGTTACTCAGGAGGCTGACATGGGAGGATCATTTGAACCTGGGAGATAGAGGCTGGAGTGAGCCATGATTATGCCATTGCACTCCAGCCTTGGCAACAGAGTGAGCTCTTGTCTCTAAAAAAAAGGTTGGGGGGGGAAGGGGGATGACAGACTAAAAGTTTCAAGTTTCCTCTTCCATATAGAAATCTTCCATTTTGAGGACACCAGCAGAAACCTTTCTAAAAACTTCTAATCCTATGATTTTATGCTACTTAAATCCCAATTTTAAATCTTGGACAAAGAAGCAATAAGAGTAGAGCAAAACAAGCAAACAAACAAAAGAGCTGTTTGAAGGTTTGCCAATAAGTTATTAGCAATGCTTGAAATTTAGAATCTTCTTCCTTTTTAAAGAGGATAAATCTGCTTTTCTTCTTCCATACTGCCATCAGCTCAGCAATCATCTCCTCAGACCAAATGGCTACCAATATGTGTTTATTGAGAGTCATTTTGTATAAGCCTGCCCTTGGAGAGAATAATTATTCTTGTTTGCAGACATTTTTATCTGGCAGCAGATTCTGCCTCCTCATTGCTGTCCTTATTCTCATTTGCTGGGCTTAATCCTTCATATTTTATGCTATCTATCTGTCCCTATTGCTATACCTTACTCATATATATGATTCCATATAATTCCATGTAATTGGATTCCATATCATCTAATCTATGGGACTTCCTTATAACATTACCCTTAGGTTCCTTAAATTCTAAGATTCATCATATCTAAAGCCTTCATTTTACAAACAAGGAGACCTGGGTCTATGGAGGTTAAGGAACTTGCCAAAGATCACAGGATCATTTAGTGAAGATCCAGTATTGGAACCCAGCTGCTATAACTACTGTCTAGTGTTCTCTGTAGGATGTGGCTTTGTGTTACAAAATTTGCCCATCTTATAAGTGAAAATCACATCATTATGTCTTTTGGAATTTCATTAAGTAAATTCTCTTTGGATATATCGTAAGACAAGCCAGGTAGTATAATGTAAAATTTGTAGAAGACACAGTTACTGAAGAGAACATGACAATTGATAAACTTAGGAACATTTGAAGCTCAACCAATACAATGATTTTTGAAAGGGCTGAAGAACTTAACTAACCTTGACAGTTCTTTCCCTTGTTTACTATATACTTTAAAAACTGAAAATCTGGTACACCAAAGTTAGCCAGCTAAATCTTTAAACCCAGTGAAGAGAAAAATAATTTAAATTAAGATCTAATAAAATGAAGAAAGGAATTTATCATACTGGAATGAGAATTTTAGTGGCTTTTGACTGGTAAATATTGGTCATAAGAGACAAATATAATACATAAAAAGTCACTAAGGAGAATAAGAAGTTAGTAAATTGAAGAGAAATTTGTAAGCCAGTGAAGACAAAGAGATAAAACAAGAAGAGAGAACAAGCAGAACTGTGGAATGGCTTGGGTTCTTTTAATCTTAAAAGTGAGAGTAGCCAGGTATACAGAAGGAATATAACTATATAGATTTAAGATTTTGGACAAAGCATTCTGCAACATATTCCACTTCTGACTGTGCTGACAAATGCATAAGTCTTCTAATATTTTCACATCCTTGCCAACACTTGTTATTTTCCACTTAAAAGATTAGAGCCAGAGTTGGGCACAGTTGGCAGGTGCCTGTAGTTACAGCTGCTCAGGAGGCTGAGGTGGGAGGATCACTGGATCCCAGGAATTAGAGCCCAGCCTGGGCAACACAGTGAGACTCCCATCTCTATTTTTAGAAATTAAAAATAAATAAGATAAATGTATAGCTATACTAGGAGACATGAAGGGTTATCTCGTGGCTTTAGCATAACGAGTATTTTAACTGTATATGTGTACTGGGAAACTTGAAGCCAAGTTAATTACCACAATTTAAATAAGAACATTCTTATATTTTACCTTTCTTCATAGATTCTTTTTCCATTCCCTCCTTGTATGTGTATAAGAGTTCATCAACTTCCTTCAGATCCAGGAAGCCTGAGCCATCACTGTCCCACTTCTGAAAGATGGCTTCTAGAAGAAGCCTCCGTCGGACTTGGAAAGCATTTTGGCTAAACTAGGATACAAACAGGATAATAAAGCACAGAAGATACATGTTCATTGTGCTAGTGTTTATTCCTAAAAAAGTCCAGCATCTTTTATTAAAACAGGTTTACTTTGGGGCTAAGCATGATATTAACGGAAAATGCAGTGATTCAGCAGTGGTGCATGCCTGTAAATCCAGCCGCTCAGGAGGCTGAGGCAGGAGTATCACTTGAGGCCAGGAGTTGGAGACCAGCCTGAGCAACATAGCAAGACCTCAGTCTTAAAAAAAAATTTTTTTCAATTTTTTAGAAAAGAAAATGCAGTGATTAATTTTAATCCCTTAAATACCATTTCTCTGTTTTACCTGTAGGCCAAAACAAAAACAAAAACAAAACAAAACAGACATTCTTGTTTGGTCCCATGGTAGGGGGTTATCAGAACTTATTAACATTAGTGTCAACTAAAGTTGGTATACAACCTCCCACTGCTAAACTTGACTGGCTTTGAAGAAAAAGAACAACAACAGGCATTCTCTGCATTAGTATTCCTTAAGAATCATTTGTGTGTGTGTGTGTGTGTGTGTGTGTGTGCAAATTTCTTCTACAAACCTTAAGAATCTTTGACCATTCTTTTCCACTCCTTCTCTAGTTGTTCAGGAATGTGATAAATACACAGAGTGCTCTGCCTGACTTCTTAGTGGGATTTTAAAATTATTATTATTTTTATCTAGAGACAGAGTCTTGCTGTGTCACCCAGGATGGAACAGAGTGGCATAATTACAGCTCACTGTAACTTGAAATTCCTGAGCCCAAGAGATTTTCCCTCCTCAGCCTCCCAAAGCACTGGAATTACAAGCATGAGCCACTGCACCTGGCCCTAAGGGATATGTTTTGAGTGAAGGGGAATGAATGGCAGTGTTTAAATAATGAAAAATGGCTGTGTTTTAAAAATTCTTTTTTTATATTTAAGATTGATTATATTTGACATTAATTTTATTTATCTTTTAGAGGTTTCACTAGGCTAATTATATTAGTGAGATAGTAATTGAATTAATGTCTAGATAGATCTAATTGCAAAAATAAAATGAATATATACCTTTTGATTAAGTAGGAGGAACTGGAATTGAGAAGGTAAAGGGAATTGTCTAGAATTAGGCTGAAAAGACTCATAGGGCTGATGATTACTGAAAAAGCTTAGTGAAAGTAATTTACATATTTCATGTAAGACACAAGAAATTGTTCATATAAGCTAATGTGTCACCCAAGTAAGTAGTAAGTTCTTAGGAAATATGTACTACCTGGGTGCTCATGAGTAAAAATATATACTCAGCCATAATCATAACGCAGGTGTGTGTACTCATAAAGACACTCACACACAGGCGTATAATGCACACACACACACCTTTGCATATATCCATATCTGCTTGTCAACCTTCAGAGAAAGAATAAAGCTGTACAATAAACCATCTCCTGCCAGAAGCAATCATGTTATTATTAAGGGAATGAGTTCTCTGGGGTGTGATCTTAGAATATTTGATGATAAAATAGAATCTTTAACGGCTATGCTTGTTGAAATAAAGTGATCAGTTTGGTTGTACATTTTTTAACATGAGCCATATCAGGAGCAACTGAGGTTGAGAGATTTACTTATAATAGTGACCTCATTTGTATTATTAATAAATAATACTACCCACCTGTTCTAAGGCATTCATTTTCTCTTGTTCTGTTTCAACATAGCCCTCCTTAAAAAAGGAGGTGAGAGTCTCGCTGACACTCAAGGGAGCATCTTCACCAACAAATGTCTCCAGGAGTTGCACAAACTGGAGCAGATTGAATGAAACTCCATTGAAGGCAGTTCTGCCTTTTACCTCCTTGCAGGACTGAATATTTCTGATAATTGAGTGTAAATCTGTCAAGCAGGAAACATTACCAAACAGTAAAGTGAACAAGTCTTTCAGTTAGGGAAAATAAATGAGTGCCTATTGTAATGAATACCTGCTATTTTTGCCTGTCAGGAATCCATGCTCCCCTCAGGAGGACAGCATCCTCCTTTTTTCTTTGGAAAAAACATCTCTCCATTGTCAGTTCAGATGAGTCAGGTCATACTGTGCCTCCTACTCTGGTGCCATGGATGGTCATGTGATATACGTCCAGCTAACAATTCATATATGATAGCAATGTAACCTACTATAGGCCAATGAGAGTTAGCCTTAGAACTTTTGGAAGAACTATTAGGGACGAATCATTCTTTTTGTACTCTGATTGCTGAACTAGTAGAATATAAGCTTAGAGATGCTTTCATGGCCATTTTTGTCACAGCATGGAGAAAACTGTCTCAAATTGAAAGTGACACAGAAAAACAGGGCTCAGAGGCAGACAGACAGTATCCTGTTGCTATTGTTGAGCCTTTGAATCTAGTTGTGCCTGAAAACAGCTGCACTCTGAACTTTCTAGTTAAATAAATTACTAAATACCACCACCACAGCTCCTTTCTCCAAGAGTCTTGACTAATATATTTACCTTTTAGCTCAATAGTATAATATGAAGTACATTTCATAAAATGTCAGCAAAGTGACTTCCATTTGATTTATTCATTGATTCAATCATTCATGCCCTTCTATATGAGATTTGATGTGACAAACAAATGATTACTCACAATTTTTATATACATTGGTAAAGCAAAATTGATATAAAGATGACTAAGAAGAATAACATGAATTAGCAGGCTGCAAGAGGTTGACCAATGCCATGCATTTTCACCAGAAAATTTGAGAATAGAAAGTTTGTTATTTGAGGCTTAAATGAGAGAAAAATTTGCAGGTAGGAAGAAGATAATCTTGATCTAATTTAGTTTTACAACTTGTTGATGTGAAAGCCAAAACAATATAATAGGATTTTAGTGAAATATGAGTGCTTTTGGAACAATCACTGTTAAAGACATACTTTGTCTGAAAGCCAGAAACTACTCTGCTCTGCTGAGTAGATCTTTCTTTGTAAGTCTTCAAAAACAAGATAAGATTCTCACTTGTCTCATATGTTTAGATGTGGCCCTACCAGGGAAAGGCATAGCTGAAATGATTTCTATTGAGTTTTAGTATCTAGTATCTGATTTTCTCTGTATGCTTAGATCATAGCTTTAAAGTGGAGATAGGGTCATATCATGGTTAAAAAATGTATACTAATACGGTAAGTTTCAAAGCAGAAGAGCACTCATCAATAGCACATTCCACCATCAATAGTACACCACCACCAAATACATCTATCTGGTATATATTTAGATTCACCAGCTTACGGACAAAATAATGCAAGGAACACCTTCCCATTCTGCCTTAGCTAAATGCAGTCTTTATCATCGAGTACCAGAGTAAATTAAATCCATCTATTGGACTGCCATCTATTCTTCCTACTTTCATTGTTAACATGTACCTGCGAACCTGGAGTTACCATAGATTAAGTTTGCCTGTTCCTCATCTTCAAATGTGACATACTTCATTTTCCAGTTGCAAGTAAAAAATTCACCTGTAAAAACACATTCCATAACGCAGCCAATCAAACTTCACTTTCACAATATTTTTGTTCTAGGGTATAAATGAAAGGAGGATTAAATAAGGAGTTACCTGACCATGACTTTCCTTCTATTTTTTGGGACTTGGGTTCACAGGACTTGTCTTTCTGAACTTCCTTTTTTGTAGTTTCTAAAAGGTACAAATGAAAATGCTTATGAATTAGACATTACATATTCCATTAGCTATTCTAAGGTTAATAAGTGATAGAAATGCCTTGCATATAGAACACAAAAAACTCTAAGTACTTTCCCATATATGTAGTGTCGTAATCAACCACAGTGAATAAATTAATAACTTGAATTGTTGAAAGCAGCTCTGTAGCAAAAGCTATTATTGTATCCAACTTGGCCGTGCAAAATGAGGGCTATATTTCCCAGCCACCCTCACAGCTAGGTATTACTATACAGTAGCCCTCTTTTTATACTTGGGAGGATATGTTCCAAGATCCCTAGTGAATGCCTGAAACTGAAGATAGTACATATACTTTTGCAGTTTGAGGTGTGACAGAAAAACTAGCATGAGTTTCTTTTTCCTTCTTCACAATTTAATAAGTAAAAGATTTGTTCTTACTGTACATTTTAACAACCCCAGAATACAATTTTCTTTCTTTCCTAAGTTGAGAACTTTCATCCCTTCCTCCCTCCCTCCCTCCCTCCCTTCCTTCCTTCCTTCCTTCCTCTCTCTCTCTCTCTTCTTTCTGATAGGGTTTCACTTTGTTGCTTAGGCTGGATGGAGTGCAGTGGTGCAATCATGGCTTATTGCAGGCTCAACCTCCTGAGGTTCAGGTGGTCCTCCCACCTCAGCCTCCTGTGTAGCCAAGACTACAGGTGCATGCCACTATGCCCAGCTAATTTTTTTTTGAGATGGCGTTTTGCCATGTTGCTCAGGCTGGTCTTGAACTCCTGGGCTTAAGCAATCCACCTGCCTCAGCCTCTCAAAGTGCTGGGATTACAGGCATGAGCCACCGTGCCCAGCTGAGAACTTTCACCTTTTCACTTCAAAGGTAGCACTTTATGCCTTCTCTTTGGCATATCCAAATTGCCAGCATCATTACTCTTGTGACTGGAGCCATTATTAGGTAAAATAAGGGTTACTTGAACAAGAGTACTGCAACGTAATGACAATCTGATAATCCAGCAGCTATTAAGTGACTAATGAGCAGGTAACATAGACAACATGGACATACTGAACAAAAGGTGCAAGATTTCATTATACTACTCAGAATGGTGCACAATTAAAAATGTATGAATTGTTTATTTCTAGAATTTCCATGTAATAGTTTCTGACTGTGGTTGATTGCGGTTTACTGAAACTGTGGAAAGCAAAACCATGGATAAGGGAGAACTACTGTATGCCTCAATTCTGACCAAAGACATGAGAATAAATATTTGAAATTCAGGGTGCATTCTGTCTTAAATATGACTTTCAGAAACTCTTCTAGAACATATATTTTATATTTAACTGAAAAAAGTGAGACCCATTTATAGTTGAAATAAAAGAAAATTTTTAAAATGGTTTCTAGTATCAGACATTACATTTAAAACAAAAGGGCTTCTCCTACCTTTCCAGAAACCCAATTAAAACACTTCTATAATCTAGTACAATGGAAATTATACGTAAATTGACAATAGAGACATTCTGGTTTGCATTTCACTGGTGAATGTAATTAACTTAATTGATTATTGTTCAAGGTCTAGACTCATGTTGAGCAGCAAAATATGCCTGAGATTTGCATGACCTGATATGCCAGAAAAAAAATTCTGACTTAAATGAGTATTTTCTGAAAAGACTTTAAAAACCATTCCATGAAACAGGGAGCCGATGTTGTAGAAGAACTGCATTACTACCTGAAAAGTGATCTTTTCTACTTAATGTTGGAACTTCCTCTTGCAGTTCAGAACTCAGGAATACTTCCTCTTCATATGCTTGTTCCCAAGACCTCTTTTCCTGTAGAGGGACTTCAATGTACTCAGAGGGTATAGGCTCCCCATATTTTGTACTTTTTAAGATACTATCTTTTCTTGATTGTGAAGTTGAGTCTTTTTGCTCTTCTGAAATTATCTCTCCGTAAGGTGCTTGTTCTGATTTTTGGTATGGTTCTTCTATTATTGACTCTCTGAGTGATTCCTGTTCTGCAGTTGACATTCTGCGTGATCCTTGTTCTGCTACTGACCCTTTGCGTCGATCTTTTTCTGCAATTGACTCTCTGCGTGACCCCTGTTCTGCAACTGACTCTCTGCGTGACCCCTGTTCTGCAATAGACTCTCTGCGTGACCGCTGTTCTGCAACTGACTCTCTGCGTGCTCCTTGTTCTGAAACTGACACTCTGCGTGGTCCTTGTCCTTCTATTGACCCTTTTTGCTGTCCTTGTTCTGTAGTTGACTCTCTGTGTGTTTCTTGTTCTGTTATTAACCCTCTACTTGACTCTTGTTCTAGAGTTGACTCTGTATGGGTTCCTGGTTCTATTACTGATTCTGTGTACAGTTCTTGTTCTGCAGTTGACTTTTTGCCTTGTTCTTCAGTTGAAATTCTTTGTGGTCCTTGTTCTGCAGTTACTCCTCTCCACTGTTCTGGTGGGTTTGGTGGTGTTGTTGATGTTCTCTGTTCATCGAGTTTAGGTTGATCTGGACTTTCTAATAATTTACTTTGGGTTTTGCTAGCATGTTTTGCAGAAAGTAATGTATTCATCTCTAAGAGCACTTCGTCAAAACCTTCATAAATGTGTTTCTGATTATCCATGTCTCCCCACAACTCAGTCAAGTTTATCTCTTCAAATTCAATGAATGGCCCTAATGCAGAAAACAAAATATTCACTTAAACCATTGATCTTATAATGCAGAATTAGAGCTATTAAATTAATGCAAAGAAAAGCATTGAGCACAGAGATTGTAATATAGACCTATTGCTCTAAATAAATATCAGTTATCTTTGGTTGCAACACAATAAAAAGTAAAAAGGTATCCAAAAGAACTTATACTACTAAGTTAGAAATCATCCCTTCCTAAAAGGTGTGATTTTGGAAATAAACAGGATTCTCCTTTTGCTACTTGGAGTGTTGCTTAGACTGCCAAGGCCAATAGAATTTGTCCTCTACCTTTGTAGTCCCCTACAATAAGCATCGCATAGGGATGGGAAAGGGGACACATCTTTCATCTCAAATATATTTTCAATATCTGCAATATAAAAAGCAAGTCTTTATCCATGACAATCTTTCACTGAGGCTATATTTTTCCAGCATTCATTTTCCCCCCCATCTCTTTCCCTCTTCTATGTTCTTCATTCCTCAGTTATTTTCCTCTACAACTTATATGGGCACCTGGAACAGAATACTAGGGAAAGACTGGATAGTATTCACAGAATCCCACTGTTAAACAATGACAATAAAACCCTGGTGTCTGTACTATAAAGAGTGGAAATCATGCCACAAGACTGTCCCCGTTTCTCCCAAAACAGTAGTGGTAAGCTATAAAATTATGATTCTCACAATTTTCAGAAATACTCCAAGTATATCACCCACAGATTTGTAAGTATCCAAGTAATAAATCTTCACACAAAAATAAAATATTGACATTCTTGGCCAGGTGTGGTGGCTCAAAGCCTGTAATCCCAGCACTTTGGGAGCCAAGGCAGGTGGATACCTGAGGTCAGGAGTTTGAGATCAGCCTGCCCAACATGGTGAAACCCCGTCTCTACTAAAAATACAAAAAAAATAGCTGCGTGTAGTGGCGGGCACCGTAAATCCCGCGGAATACTTGGGGAGGCAGAAGGGCAGTGGATAGATCGGCCTTGAACCTGGGGAGGCAGAGGTTGCAGCTTAGCCCATGAGCTGCCGGCCATTGCCACTCAGCCTGGTGCAAAAGGCGTAGACTGGCTGTCTAAAAAAAAAAAAAAAGAAAAAAAGTCTTTGGAGAAACGCTCGCCAGTACGATTTACCCTTTTTAAAAAAATGACACAAGCTGGCACGTGGGCATTGACTGTAGTCTCTGGCTACTCTGGGGCCTGGAGGAAGGAGGATTGCTGGATTCCCAGGAGTTTGAAGCCACCTGGGCAGATACGCAAGGAGCCCCATGCTACTGAAAAGTAATGAATAAAATAAAATAACCCTAATTTCTATTTGGTCTTGGAAATGAACTAAGAAGGACTTTTACGTGTATAAGTAAGGTACACAAGGTACAAAAATGCTTGGGAAAGGAAATTTTTTCTTTATAATCTTAATAATTTTAGTTGGGTATTAAAAAGTGGAATTTATCGGAGGCTGGAGGTGCAGTGGCTGCATTGACGACATGTATAGTCCCGCACGCAAGGCGATTGTTGGAGACGTATTCCTTTGAAACAGGGGGTGAACCCTCTCTCTATTTAAAAGTAGCAAAAATTAGCTGGGCATGTGGCGTTACACCTTGTGACGTCCAGCCTCTCAGGGGGGTGAGTGGGAGGAATCATCTCCCCCTGGGGATAGGTTGGCTGCGTGGTCAATGTCGATGCACTTGCACTCCGCCTGGTCGAAGAAGAAGGTCAGCTCTTGTCTCAAAAAAATTTTTTTTTGTTGATAAAATGGATTACCATTATGAACTTTTAATTTCCAAACTGTTCAGACTGTCACTTTTTTTTTTTTTTTTTTTTTTGAGCATTTCTTCATTTGCATGAATTTAAATTGAGTTTCATGAGGTTCTGATATAAAAATTTTTTGAGTATGGCATGTGGTGGAAATGCATCTAGTGTGTGATGGGGCGTGTTTTGTGGGGAAGGGAATAGGACAACGTTACATACATCTCTCGATGTGGATCTAGAAGAGAGTATTATGTGAAGGGATCTATGGTGGTAGAATAATTTGTGTTATCATATCATGTGATCACTATCAGATACTATCAGGTGACACTTAGCTTGAACATACTCCTCTAAGTTGGCCTTACTTGTCGTGGGTTTCAAGTAAACTCCTAAGCATTTGTGGAACTATGTCATAAACAATTCAGCAATGGCCAATGTCTCTCGATCCAGAAACCCTCCTAAACAAAGGAAGGAAAGTTTGTGTTATTGTTACAGAATTTAAATGATTTTTATGCTTGTTGGAACTGGCTTTGACCCCTTGAAGCTTTATATCATTACCACCACACAATTGATTATTCGTGTAAGTAAAAGCTGCAGCATCAAAATCAGGAAGGTTCTATCTTGCCTTTAAGCTATACTCACGTTTCTCATTCTATGGACATGTCAAAATGACCTCTCTAGACTTAGTAAATGTTTAAGAACTATTTGTGACTGACTTTATTGATGGGCTAAATCCAATGCTATAATGTTCAGTTGTTATCTTACGTGCCTGAGTATGTCATTGAGAACAATTACTGCACCCTACTTGTTCTTTTTCCATGTTATTTTTGAAAACCTTTTTGAATATAGAATATAGAAAATGATAGAATTACATATGGTTTCCAACACCTAGAAATAATAATTGTAACATTTTGTGTATGTGCTTTAAAAAGTCGATATAGCAACACAGTGGAGCCCCATTGCTTCAAAAAGTAAAAAATTAGCCAGGCATAGTGGTGCACACCTGTAGTCCTAGCTACTCCAGAGGCTGAGGCCAGAGGATTGCTTGATTTGCAATGGCTATGATCATGTCACTGCACTCCAGGCCTGGCTGCAGAGCAAGACCTTGTCTCAAAAAACAAAAACAAAAAATACCTGATATCGGCCAGGCGCGATGGCTCTTGACTGTAATCCAGCACTTTGGGAGGCCGAGGTGGGTGGATCACCTAAGGTTGGGAGTTCAAGACCAGCCTGACCAACATGGAGAAAACCTGTCTCTACTAAAAATACAAAAATTAGCCAGGCATGGGTGATGGGTGCCTGTAATCCCATTACTCGGGAGGGTGAGGCAGGAGAATCACTTGAACCAGGAGGCGGAGGTTGGGGTGAGCAGAGATCATGGCCATTGCACTCCAGCCTGGGCAACAAGAGCAAACTCCATCTAAAAAAAAAGAAAAAAAAAAAACCTGTTAGAGTAAATATGTCTTTCTTCAAATTGCTTTTATTTACTTAACATTGAGATCTAATTCATATCTGTAAAGAAATATATTTTATTCTTTTTAACCGCAATAAGGCATTCTGTAATATGAAAACACCATAATAATAAAAAAAAAACTCCTCTATTGATGGGCGTTTTCATTATTTTTAGTATTTTGATATCAACATAATGCTGCGATAGATATCCTTATACACATCTCCTTGTGTACATATGCAAACATTTCTCTAGGGTAAATAACTAGAAGTGGAATTACTGGATTGTATAATATATGCATTTTCAACTTTATTAGTTATAGCCAAATTGCTTCACAAAATGTTAATACCAATTTACATTCTTGCCAGCATTGAATGACAGTATTATTTCTCCATATCTACATCAATACTTGATATTATTAGAGTTTATTATTTTATCTAATCTGATGGATAAAAATGGTATCATTATTATCAATTTGCATTTCCCTGATTACTAGTGAGATTTAATATATTCTCATGTGCTTATTATATGTTTGGGTTTTTCATCTTCTATGAATGGCTTTTTCATATCCTTTTCTCATTTTTCAGTTGGGACCAGTTGCATATTTCTTTTCTTGAGATGGAGTCCCACTCTGTTTCCAGGCTGGAGTACAGTGGCGCGATCTCGGCTCACTGCAACCTCCACCTCCTGGGTTCAAGCGATTCTCCTGCCTCAGCCTCCCGAGTAGCTGGGGCTACAGATGCCTGCCAGCACGCCTGGCTAAACTTTTTGTCTTTTTAGTAGAGATGCAGTTTCACCGTGTTAGCCAAGATGGTCTCGATCTCCTGACCTCGTGATCTGCCCACCTCGGCCTCCCAAAGTGCTGGGATTACAGGTGTGAGCCACTGCGCTCCACCCAGTTGTCTACTTCTTATGGATTTGTAAAATTTTGAGAATGACCATTCTTTTATTTACATAGCAAATGTTTTTCCCCAGTTTATCTCATCTTTCAATTTAACTTTTGGTGAGTTTAGCCATATCAATGTTATCCATTAATTTTGAGGATATACATTAATTTTGAGGTAGTCAAACATATAAATCATTTCTCTTTGATATACAGTAAAAAATCAGTGAATGATATTGGGACAATTACTTTTTCATATTGGGAAAAACATAAAGGTAGATCCCACCCTCATTAATGAGAAAAGTGAGTTCTATCTGATCAGAAACCTAGCTGTGGAAAACAAAATTTAAAAAATTTTAGAAGCAGCCAGGTGTGAGTCACCATGCCTGGCTGCTTCTAAAACTTTTTAAGACAGGCTCTCACTAAGGAATGCTCCTAAGGAATACTCCAAATAAGCACAAACCATTTTAAGTTCCAAATATGTGCTCTAAATTTTCTTTTTTCTTTTTTCCTTTTTTTTTGAGACAGGGTCTCACTCTGTAACCCAGACTGGAGTGCAGAGGCATGATCATAGCTCACTGCATCCTCAAATTCCTGGTCTCAAGCAATCCTCCTGCCTCAGCAGGAGTCGCTGGGATTACAGGTATGAGCCACCACACTTGGCTGCTTCTAAAATTTTAAAAATTTTGTTTTCCACATTTAAGTTTCTAATTAGACAGAACTCACTTTTCCTCATTAATGAGGGTGGAATCTACTTTTACATTTTTCCCAATATGGAAAATTAATTGTCCTAGCATAACTCATTGATTACTTCTTTTCCCAATGATTTATATTGCCACCTGCACTATATACTAAATTCCCACAAGCTCTTGCAGCTGATGCCAGATCTAATATTCTGTTCCACTGATTTGTCTATTCCAGTACCAAAGCCAAAGCTATTTTAATTAATATAAGTTTATTTTAAAAATAAGCTCCTGCACAGCAAAATAAACTATCTCCCGTTTGTTTGTCTGTTCACTCTGTTTACACCCGACCTGAATATACAATTTTCATGAGAAGACATACATGGCTGGTGCCTGTAATCACTGCACTCTGGGAGGCCTGGCAGATCACTTGAACCCAGGAATTTGAGACTAGCTTAGACAACATAGTGAAACCTCATCTCTACAAAAATTATCTGGGCCTGGTGGCGTGGCTTATAGTCCCAGCTACTTGGGAGGCTGAGGTAGGAGGATCGCTCAAGCCCAGGAGGTTGAGGCTGCAGTGAACCGTGATCGTGCCACTGCACTCCAGCCTGAATGACAGAATGAGATCCTGTCTCAGAAAAAAAAAAAAAAAGATGAAGAAGAAGACATACGCGCAGCCAACAAGCATATGAAAAAATGCTCAACATCGCTAATCATTAGCGAAATGCAAATCAAAACCACAATGAGATACATCTCACACCAGTCAGAATGGCTATTATTAAAAAGTCAAAAAATAACAGATGCTGGCAAGGTTGCAGAAAAAAGGGAATGCTTATACACTGTTGGTAGAATGTAAATTAGTTCAGCCATTGTGAAAACTGTTCGGTGATTTCTCAAAGAGCTCACAGCAGAATTGCCATTTGGCCCAGCAATCCTATTATTGGGTATATATCCAAAGGGATATAAATTGTTCTACCATAAAGACACATGCACACGTATATTCATTGCAGCACTATTCACAATAGCAAAGACATGGAAACCAACCTAAATATGAACCGATGGTAGACCGTATAAAGAAAATGTGGTACAAGCCAAGCGCAGTGGTTCATGCCTGTAATCCCAACAGTTTGGGAGGCTGAAGAGGGAGGATCACTTGAGCTGAGGAGTTCAAGAGCAGCTCTGGGTAACACGGTGAGTTACCATCTCTACAGAAACAGAAAAAATTACCTGGCATGGTGGTATGTACCTGTAGTCCTAGCTAGTCCTGAGGCTGAGGTGGGAGGATCGCTTGAGTCTGAGTTGCAGTGACCTGTGATCACACTACACTCAGCCTAGGTGACAGAGTGAGGCCTTGTCTCAAAAAAAAAAAAAAAAAAAAAGTAACAGAAAATGTGGTACATATGCACCATGGAATTCTATGCAGTCATAAGAGAATGAGATTATGTCATTTGCAGCAACATGGATGGAGCTGGAGGCCATAATCCTAAGTGAACTAACACAGGAACAGAAAACCAAATACCAACATGTTTCCACTTATAAGTGGGCGCTAAACACTGAGTACATATGGACAGAAAGAAGGGAACAGACACCGAGGCCTACCTGAGGGTCAGCGGAGGGAGGACGGAGAGTGTCACAAAACTACCTGTAGGGTACTGTGCTTATTATCTGGGTGGCGAAATAATATGTATATCAAACCCCCATGTCACACAATTTACCTATATAACAAACCCATACAAGTACCCCTGAGTCTAAAATAAAAGTTGTCCGGGCAGGTGGTGCACACCTGTAGTTCCAGCACTTCGGGAGGCTGAGATGGGCAGATAACTTGAGCTCAGGAGTTTGGATCAGCCTGGGCAATGTGGCAAAATCCCATCTCTACGAAAAATAAAAAAATTAACTTGGTATGGTGGCACATGCCTGTAGTCCCAGCTACTAAGGAGGCTGAGGTGGGAGGATGGCTTAAGCCTGGGAGGTGGAGGCTGCAGTGAGCCGAGATCCCACCACTGCACTCCAGCTTGGGTGACAAAGTGAGATCCTGTCTCAAAAAATAAAATTAGTTAATTAATTAAATAAAAGTTAAAAAAATCAGGGAAATTCTCCCCAACTTGTTTTTCATTTGTAACTATTTTTGCTATATTTGAAACTTTATTTTCCCAACTAAAATTTTTTTTAACTAAACCTTTTAAAATATATATATACCCTATAAACAGAAAAGTGCACAAAACCTAAGTATACAGTTTTATGAATTATTGGAATAAAAAAACACACAGGAGGACTTTCTCAAAGAGAATCACAAACTTGAGTAGAGGGTAGAGCTTTGCTCCAAAACTCAAGGGAACTACAATATGATTTTATTGTTTGAATTGCCACAGCATTCCAAATGCAA